GTATGAAATGCACTCAAATTGTAAATCACACTGACACACACACACATAAGCCAAATCTTAAAATAGAGAGCTTATTACTTGAGAATGTTTTTTTTTTTTTTTCTTTTGTTTATCCATCAGATTTTTACTCGCACAACAGCAGATGACACTAAGTACACATGTTCATATCTTCAATAACCAAAGTTATCACCTTTAATCCTTTTGTACCCACTTCTGCCCCACATTGATAGTAGCAGTCCTATAAAACTGAAAGATCAGTGTATCTCTGTTCAGATCACATTAAAGTGTCATTTATTTCATACTCCTACTTTTTTTTTTTTTTTATATATATAAAACATTCAGAAACTATCCCTGTGAGATATTACTAGAGTTTTTAGCTGTATAAAAAGCTGCTGAGATCTGCTGCAGAAATATCTGTCCTCCTACGACATGTTGATAACTTGAAAAACAAGTAAAAAACTTTATCCGTCAGACTACGGCTGTACTTGTGCCTTCTTTAAAATGTGGGGGAAGAAAGATGAAAAATATTTCCACTTGCACAGTGATTAAAAAGCTATTCATGTATGAAACTGATCTAAATGAACCTGCGGCCGGAGGCGTCTGCCGGAAAACTGTTAGATTAACTCACCTTAAAGGTATTGAGGACAATCTTTTATTTCCGGGTGGATCATCTAAATAAGTGGTCCTCCTAATTGCCAATCAGTCTGGTGATATGTGTTTGTAAGGCCGTCCTACGTGCTTGCCCCGTTAGCTATGTTTTTCCGCACTTGTGCACTTTCAGCTATATATGTATAGTGATCTACGGTTTCAGACTTTCACTGAAGCTCACCTTTCTCACCGCTGTTCTTTGAAAATGGCCGAGGGTCATAAGAGAAAAAGTGTCTACGTAGTGCGCAACGACACAACAATAAGCCCGTATTCAACATTATCTGGGTGGGCCCTATAAGAAGTACATAACCCCCCCAACAAATACTCAAATCATTGTTCTTTTAAGATCTTTATTGCCGTTTGAAACTATTATGAGAGTGTATTTTTACCAACAGTCTAGTGAACTATACACAGTTTTTAACATAGTAATTAAAAGTACCACTGTCTGCTTTGCTATTGGTTTCGCGTTTAAACGGCTCACTGTCATGTTGGAATCTGGCATGTGTTGGCGTATAAATAAGGTCCGGGGACTCAATCTAGTATCAGGTGGGTTTAAGAGGAATTTTTCACACCATTACTTCTGCAAAGAGACGTCCTCGTCTATAATTACATAGGGGGCCTACCAGGTGTCAGTGACGGGACCCCTAAGCAACCGCCGTAACGATAGTCACGCCATTGACGTAGTGTATGAGAAAAAAAGAAAGTCCTCAGAAGAGGCAGATATATCCCAGAATGCTTTGTGCAGAGCTCTCCTCTGAAAGCATTATGGGATTTGCTGTCACAGCAGCCTGCTGTCGCCATAGGCTGCCGCTACCTGACAGCGTCGACTAATAACAAAGATGCCGCAGGAGGAGTAGGAGGAGTAAGGTGACCAGTAAGGTGACCAACAAAGCAAAAAGAAGTGATCATATCTCAGAACAGTCTGTTAACTGAGTTTGCCATAAAGTCCACCATATATATATGGTGAAGATTGTCAGTCATTCAGGTCATAGTCATTCAAAAAATAAATAAAGAGTTGTTTAAAGGTCTTAAAGAAACTAAAAACACTCGACTGGACTTTGTTACCAAGTTTGAAGACAAAGCTTTTTTTGGGACATTTTTCAATTCAAAATGTCAGGAAAAGCGATGAATAGGGTATAGTCCCCGCTGTGTGTGGACGCAGTAAGCTTGAATAAGTTTTGAGAACACCATATTTTAAACAGGGCCTGCATCAGGAGAAATGGGCTCGTGCACGCCCTCGCACTCACATTTTTTTTGAAAAAGTCCTCCACAATACCTATTAACTTACATACGTTAGGACGTTAGTTAGTTTTATGTCAACTTGTACACCTAAATTTGACCAGTCATATATCAACGGTCATCTGGCAATCAATTTTTTTTGGTCATAGCCTCTTGATTCATATTTCGCAGCCAATACACGCAACGGTTAAAATAGGTAATAAAAATAATTTCCTTTCCCATTGAGTTCCGTCCCAGTGTTCACGGGGATGGACGTCTGTGCCTTCAGCAGGCGTAGAGCTAACAGAACTGGCAGCGTTGCGAGGCAAGGGCTCAAACATGTACAGCTGTAAGCCTTCTACACCAAACCAAGCTTCTGCCACCCTGGCGTCCTCTTCAACAACATCTTCGTCCCCGCTTTCCTCCTCTAAATGAAAAATGGATGACAGAGGAGACTCATCCACGACCTCTGACACAAAACTCTCCTCCTCTTGCATGTTTCCTTGACAGTGGCGTTTCTAAGTCACCAATTTAGTGCTAGTTGATCCCAATGTAATTTCCCATTGGGAACCTACTAGTACTAAGTGGCTAACTGGTAAACAAGATGCTTCCGACAAACCGTCCACAACCAAATATGCTGGTGAACTTTCCGCCACAACAATCCCACCCCCTTGATAATCGACCAATCACATTCACTTTATTCACTCATGTAAAGTCGGGCATCGCTCGGGAGAATTCGGAAATGCAACGGTTGGAACAGCTGCTTCCGTATGACTTTAATAAATACAGTCTACATTGTGTGATTAAAAGCATAAAGACTGAAATAAAATGTTAAAAAATTTGTGTTTGTAGTGTCGAGCAAAATTTCATTGGTGAGAATACTTTTGCATTGCATATGTCTTTTGCAATGCACTGTGTTGCTTAAAAATGAAAAGAAAATAATGATGTTGGCCAAATGCTAAATTCAGGGCTGTAGAAAATTCGCTATTGAAAAGATCATGGGATTGAAATAGGAGAGGAGAAAACCCCCCAAATGTTACTCAACACTGCCTGTCAGAGTTGCCCCTAGCTTGCAGAAATACACATTAATGACCCTAATACACAGGGAAAAAAACATGTAACTAAATTGAGTGTAAATACTTGTGGTCAATTTGCCTGTGGTTGTGTCCTTCGTAATGCAAGGTGAAGAGGCTCTTCACTGTAAATTCACCGTCTCCAACTTGCCAGCTTTGCACTTAGAAGGGCCATTATGTGTATTCAAAGCCACAAAATAATGGTGTGTGTCATGTGCAAATGCATTTGGGGAAGAAGTAATCGAGTTGTGATGTGTCAGCCGGCTTTCATGGCTGTATGTGTGTGTGCTGGTCCATTAGAAGCCAGATGTGATGAGGAATATGAAGTGTGTGACTCATTAGTGGGTTATGTAGATTCACACAAAGGGCAACAAGCTCAGACATGAGTACAAGTCCATCTTGGAGTCTAAAAGTATATTGGAGTTTTTCTCATTGCAGGTCAGATAAGTGGAACCGCGGGCAGTCAGAATATCTGGTAGAGCTACTTATGCTGGCTTAGGTCATATCATTATAGAGAGAAAAAGCTTCTTCTTTTTTACCTTCTTCAATTTGTGTTCCAAAACTGAAAACTGCTGCCCTTATTTTTAGTTATAAAGTCCACACCATGAACTCTATAGTTTTTACAAAACACACAAAAAATGGAATATGATAATTGGATTTGTGTTTATATTGATTCCACTACAGTTAATTTTTAACTTGAACATTAGCTATAAACACTGAGCTGCTGGTGTCACAAATAAAAAATATATATATTTCAATGTCATTTTATTATGAAAATGTTATGAGGTTCCAGTTTTATCCAACTGGATAGAAAATGTATCCAGTTGGAAATGTTTAATAACTTGTTGTGCTTAGATTTACCCCTTTACCACCATGTTCCTGCAATTTAATCAAAACATCATTCATAATTACAGTTTTTCTTCTATTTAGTTGCAGGATATTTCAATATTTTTTACATTTTTTACATGGTAATAGATGGTTATTTATTATTATTTGTTTTAAAAAGCATTTTTTTTTATTGTGATTACACTGTCACAAGTACAGAGCAACAAAATTAACTCTTTGCATTTAATTCATCCCCTTGGGGAGCAGTGGGCTGCCATTGTGCAGCGCCCAGGGAGCAGTGTGGGGGTTAAGGGTTTGTGGTGGCCCTGACCTCTAGGCCACCACTCCCCAAACCAGGGATTAGCGTGAAGGACTCTCACTAGTAGCTTATCCCCCACAGCTGGGACACAAACCCAGGCCTCCTCCTGTTAGCAGGATGGGTGACTTACCACTTGAGCAAGCCAGCCGCTTTCGTAACCATTATGGTTTTTTTTCCCTTTTTGGTTAGGTTATTGGGTGCTAGACCAAGCTCTTGCCTTAAAAAAAAAACGAATGTTGCACCGATACCAGTATCGGACAGGGCCCTGATCCAGCAATAAATTGGTGGTATTGGTATTGGCCAATATTGCACAGCCAGGTATCAGGTATCCGTATCGAGGCCAAAAAATGGCATTGGCGCACAAAACACACACAAAAATAGATTACTGTTTGGAGTGCTTCATGTAATGGGTTTCCATGGCCAAGAAGCAAAGTGTTGGATGCAGTGGTGTAAAGCAAGCTACCATTGGGCGACAGTGGCGTTGGGTGTAGGAGTTTGCCCTGAAATCAAAGGGTTGACGGTTCAAGCCCCGTCTCTGACTTTCATTGTCGTTGTGTCCTTGGGCAAGACACTTCACCTGCATTGTCTACTGATGGTGGTCAGTAGACAATGCAGAGGGCCTGGTGGCGCCAGTTTACGGCAGCCCTGCTTCTGTCAGTGAGCCCTAGGGCAGCTGTGGCTACAATGTAGCTTGCCACCATCAGTGTGTGCGTGAATGGGTAAATGAATGTAGTGTAATGCGCTTTGGTCAAATCTCCTGACTTGAAAAAAGTTGCTATATAGGTACATGCCATTTACAGAGCGGCGGATAGACATTCTCTGGAGTGACCCATTAAATTCTCCATCAAATTCTCTAACTGTGAATTTGATGGACAAGTGTGGCTTTGGTCTTTGCCAAGAGAAGAGTACTTGTCTTA